GATTGGAAGTGCGGCAACGAAGTTTGCGGATATCACAACTTTGCTAAGAACGTTTGCTGTCTGCGTTGCGGTGCCAGCCGTGCTGGTGCCGCTGTTGTCGCCGATTCTGGTGGTTACCCCTCCCCCATGGATCCCCCTTCCAACTATAGCATGAGCCAGGGCTCCATGAGCGGCACTCCTGGACCCGGGCCGTTTGCTTCGGCCGGCGGTGGTTTTGCTTCTGGTGGCGGCTACGGTGGTCAGCACTTTGGCGGCCCCCCCAGCACTTATGCCCTTCCCTCAGGCATTGGTGGCGGCGCCGCTCCCTACCCCTCTCTCAACACTCACTTTGGACCGGCTCCTGGCTCTCACTCTGCCGGCCCTTTCGATAGCCGTGCCGCGGAGGCGGCTTTCCAGTCCGCTTCCAACGGCCCTGCGTCTGCCGGCCCCTCGAACAACTTCTACTCTCAGAACGAGAACGATCCGTTTGCGTTCCTCTCCAGCGGAATTGGAGGGCTTTCCGTGAGCGGCGGAGACGCCCGCCAGAACGGAGGAGCCGCGCCGCCGAGCAAGTCTCCTGCGTAAACTACACAACTGGATTTTGATAATCGAGATGAGCCAAAGTTTGCTACATTAGCTGGCTTGGAACGTTTTCAGCATGTGACTTACTGATGCGGATTACGCTTCGGAAACAAGACGAACATAGATCATTTGTCCTTATGGCAATCAATCACCTTCTGGATTTCAACCTGCGTTATTGGACGGGGGCGGGCAGGCATCGGATTTGGAAGATTAGGACGGGGTGTTGGTTGTCGGTATACCAAGGGACGTGGGAAAAAAGTTTGCAAAGGCTGGAAAGACAAAAAGAGTGTTACACTACCGGACGGGCTGTTGGAACTGCTTTCTCGCTGACAAGCGTCAGAAGCTATGGATTGTTTTACGGCCTCACCTTGATGGACGTTGCGGTTGTTGCTCGGTCGGATTTTGGGCGGTCCAAAGGGAGTGCATAGCGATGGGAGTAAGTAGTAAAAGGTATACCTGTCTGGCCTTCATCGTGTGCGAAGAAGTTGTCTATTTCCAATCATTTTCGTTTTCCTCTTTATCCGTCGTCTCTCCCTCTCTAAGTACAGTTGTCGTTTGAATTGTTATATTTATGCTGTCTTTCCGCAACATTCTTTCTTTTTCCGAAAACAAAAACAAAACCACAAAATTCTCCATCTTGCTCATCACTCTCCTCCCTCTCTCAACTCCCTCTTTCTCCTTGGAAAAAAAGATTGGTTTGGCTTGGCATTTCAAACATCACACCCCTTCCTTCCGCATTCGACATGGTTTTCTCTATACGGGTTGGATGGGCGGCAGCGTTGTGGGAGTCGGGGAGTGAAACAGGGTCCAGGGCAGGTTGGCTGGCTTTTGGCTTATATTCCTCTTTTTTATTCTTTCCTTTGCCATTTTTTCTCTCAAATAATTCGCAAAGTCTCCGTCGGCATCTCTTTTCGAAATGCAAATAAAAGCTTCTTCCCAGCATACTTGCAAGAGGTTATGTTCCTTCCTTTGGAGCCCCCGTTTCCCTCAGTGAGTGTATGTATGTGTGTCTGTATTTGTCCCAGGGGAGGTTATTGGTGGCGGTGACGGTGACGGTTGTTGCGCGTGCATTCGCCGGATGACGGGGTTGCTATTGTTTGTGTATGTATGTATGCATTGACTGCATTCTGATGTTTTCAGCATTCTGACTACTGCCCTGGTGCTCTGATGCTTGGACTCGTCGATAGTCCCGAACCCCTGCGTGTGACGTACTTATTTGTTCGTTCTTTTGTCCAACCATCACCGTGATTGGAACTGAGATGTCTGCCCCTGGAAACGAGTGTTCCTGGCATGGCCCTGAGTCTAATGTTCCAACAATGTCCTCCATTTTTCATAGGGGAATTGCGTCGCCTTCTGATCGTGGGTTCTCACGAGGTATAACCTTTGCGCCAAGTTGGGGCCGCACGTGTCACGGACGTAGGTTTGAAGTGAGAAACAATGCAGCTGATTGGGAATCTGAATACATCTCCGTAGACGCCGGAACAAAAATGGAACCCTGAATTCATCACCGTTTTGAACCCCCTCCCAATGTGATTCTCGGCCAAATGGTTGCTATTACGCTTAAGTATGTTTGAGACTCCACCTTGCCTATCGGTCGATCTCGTCGAGAGGCAGGTCGCCGTCGTCCTTGCCGACGATGGAGTCGGCGACCTTCCAGATCTGGAGCAGGTTGTCCTCTGCGGCACTGCAGACGAGCCAGGGCTCGTTGGGGTTCCAGCTGAAGTCTGCGAGGTGGTTGGTGTGACCACCGTGCATAAACAGGCTGCGATCATGTTAGCTATTAGATTATGAGTAGGCAGTGAGAGAACATACAGCTCCGGGGGCCCATCCTCCTGGTCGTCCGGCATCTGCTCCTCTCCGACGCGGGACAGATCCCAGAAGATGACACGTCTGTCGTAGCTACCGGAGCCGAGGATACCGGCCTCTTGAGGGTGCCATGAGAGCGAAGTGACCGCATCGTTGTGACCCTCCAGGGTGTGAACCTTCTCCTTGACATTGCGCAAATCCCAGATGCCCAAGGTCTTGTCAGCTGAGGCCGTCGCGACGAGGACTTCTGACGTGGGGTTGAAGGCGAGGGCGTTGATCGCATCCAGGTGACCGCGCTTAGCGACCACGGCAGCACGATCCGTCTGCTTCTGGCGCACGTCGATGATTTGCATCGTCAAGTCGTCCGAGACGGTTCCGATGAAGTTCTTGGCAATCGGGTGGTATTGGACATCGTTGACGATCTGGGTGTGGTGTGTGTATCTGCTCTGGGGCTTCAAAGTGTGGCTGCCGCTTTGCAGCTGTTTGAGGTCCCTATGAGTTCTTCATTAGTCTCATTCACGTATCATGGCGAAAGCAGCGACATACCAAAGGCAAACGGTGGTGTCCTCACTACCAGAAGCCAGGCAGCCCGTTTCATGAGGGTTCCAGCTCAGGCCAAATCCTTCCTGCTTATGGCCAATGAGTTCGACCTGAGCGTTGACCTTGCCGTCAGGCTGCAGGCTGTGCTTCGTGCGATCAAAAACCAAGACCTTGCCATCGACACAGAGTGTCGCAATGATGTCGGGGTTCTGAGGCTGGTAGCGCGCCTTGTTGATCTCGCCAGGGTGATCAATCTTTTGCACGATGCTGAACTCAACTGCCGAAGACTCTCCATTCGACGACTTTGCATGCCCTCCAACCTCACCGGTCTCCTCATTGTAGTCGGCCGGGTTCGGGGTTGCGGACTTGGGGATCTTGACTTCGGCGATCTGGACGTGGTTGGGCAGTCCTTCGGATGTGTGGGTGCCGAGAAGCAGTCTGTGGATGCGGTAGTTCTTGTCTTCAGGCTCCTTCACATCGGGGAACCATTGTGTCGTGAGGGTAGGCCACTCAAGGGCGGTGCTGCACACAGTGTCAGCTGGGGTAAATCGGAAGTCGGAAGGCTCTTCGTACCTGAGAATCATGTCGTAGAGAAAGGGGCTGTTCTTCTTCCAGGTCTTGTATTCTGAGGACGTCGTAAGCGATATTTCGAAGAACATGTTCAATGAAATGCTTACCCTCATTGATGAGACGTTGCTCCTGATCCTCATCCTCCTCGCGATCCATTTCGACTGGTCAAGGGTCAGAAGCTGATGCGCTCCAAGCTGGTTTGCGAAGCTTACCGTCATGGTCGTCAACGACTTGAGCGGGCGCCATTGTGTATGCGTTCGTGAATGAAAAGATCGATCTCCTCAGCTAGGTAGTCAATGGATTCCTCGGTTGTTGCGTGCGCGGGGATTGCGATTGTGCTGAGATAACCGGGCGTCAGGTCGGAAAGTTCTTCGCTAGCGCAAACGATGGTGAAGGAGGTTGACGCGAGATGGCCCGGGGGAAGCAACGCGCAGCGCGTAGATTGAATTTTAGTTGCAGCAGCAGGAGTAGGCCGGCCCGCGTAAGGGACGGACAGGCGCGCCCCCGGCGCACCTGAAGGCTCGAGCTGTGACGCCTGCCACGCTAAATCGTAAGCGGCATGGCGGGAGCCAGAAGCATTCTCCCCACATTTTGTGCTTCGAACTGAGGCTGCCACCAGCCTCACCCTGGGAGGTCCATCCGCCACAGCTGGCGGGGTCCTGAGGTGTGGCGCAGACAAAAAGCGTTCAGGCCTAAAGGTGTCCTGTAGAGTCACACCGGTTCAGGGCCAAATGCAGTGATGACTTGATGGCGAAACCCCTGTGGCCACTAGTGCTACAGTGTTGTCCTGTGAGGTGAGGTGGTTATGCCACCTGGCCCCGCTACCGCCCGAAAGCTGGGCGCGGAAGTTCCTGCATCATCCAATCCATATCGATTGCGCCCATATCAACCTGGAGGCGTCAGGTCCATCTGTCCAGCTTCACCTACCTCACCTTCACCTGCGCAACCCGACTTTCCCATCCCTTCCGCCCTCACACAGCTCGACAGCCGAGTTCCCTGTTCACCTGGCAGAATCGCAAACGCCTTGGTCTTACAACAGCCAGGAGTTTAATATTCTTTCACTTGTTCATTTTTCTTTTCCTGTTCCAAAGTCGCAACTAGCTTGCGACTGATTCACTTGGACTCCTGCGTCAGGACTCCCCTCGTGTCTGGAGAGAAAACATCGGTCGCTTTCAGCGCTGAGACGGATAGAGACTGCAGCATTGTCTCTGCGAATTATTTTCATCAATCAAAACTTCATCAACTTCATCATCACTAGCCGCGCTTAACTCAAGCGCGCACATCATCGTCACATCATGGGGTTGGTCCTACTTCTCGTCCTGCTCTGGCGCATTAGCTCAGCTCTGCTGACCACCTTGTGTACAGTGTTCCCAAGTTCTTCAGATGGCTCTCGGAGCGTTATCCGGCCATCTCTCAGCTAATTGCTGAGAATCGCATTCCCGAGTTCGACTGTCTTTACGTCCGTCTACCCCACCACCTCGCCATCGTTGGGTACGAGTAGCTGACAATTTCGGTAGCTGGATATGAACGGAATCATCCACAATTGCACGCACAAGGACACGGGCGAGGATACCACCTTCCGACTAAGCGAGGAGGAGATGTTCATACGCATCTTTAACTACATTGAGCACTTGTTTGGGAAGATCAAGCCGAAGCAGCTCTTCTTCATGGCTATTGACGGTGTCGCACCGAGAGCCAAGATGAACCAGCAGCGCGCCCGTCGGTTCCGAACCGCTCTCGACGCCGAGAAAGCCCGTGACAAGGCGATCAGCGAGGGTGTTGAGATGCCCAAGGAGCCTCCCTTCGACAGCAACTGCATTACCCCCGGCACCGAATTCATGGCGAAGCTTACCCAACAACTCAAGTATTTCGTCAACAAGAAGGTCTCCGAAGACGCCGACTGGCAGGGCTGTGAGATCGTTCTGTCTGGTCACGAGGTGCCCGGTGAGGGAGAGCACAAGATCATGGAGTACATCAGAAACGCCAAGGCGCAGCCTGAATATGACCCCAACGTCCGTCACTGCTTGTACGGACTCGATGCCGACCTCATCATGTTGGGTCTTCTCAGCCACGACCCTCACTTTTGTCTTCTTCGAGAGGAGGTCACTTTCGGCCGCCACAACAAGAACAAGGCCAGAGAACTGGAGCACCAGAACTTTTACTTGATGCACCTCTGCATAGTTCGCGAGTATCTCGAGTTGGAGTTTCAGGAGCTTCAAGAACCTGGGAAGCTTGGCTTTCCCTTCGATTTGGAGCGGGTCATCGACGATTTCATTCTCATGGCTTTCTTCGTCGGAAACGATTTCCTTCCCAATCTTCCACGTCTGCATATCAACGAGGGTGCACTCGCTGCCATGTTCCGTATCTACAAGGATATTCTCCCCAAGGGAGATGGCTATATCAACGAAGGAGGTATCATTAACCTTCCGCGTCTTCAAAAGCTTTTGGAGGAACTTGGAAAGGACGAGATTGAGTCTTTCGAGAACGATGCTAGCAACGAGAAGTGGTTCCAGTCCAAGAGATCCGCCGAACCGAACGGCGTCGACAACAAGAAGTCCAAGGCCAAGGGTCTTGTGCTGACGTCTTCTCAGAGAGACTTATGGAAGCAAAAGATTCGTCCCTATGTCAACAAACCATCATCTGAGCCGCTTGATCTGGGTACCAGTTTGAACGCTGCGGACCGCAAGTTTGTCCAAGATCTTGCTGATACCCTTCATATTGAGTGGAGCACGAAGGAGGACGATGATGGCCATCGTCACCTTCTTTTGTCTTTCCCCGAGGGTGCCGTTGAGAGCCTCAATGATGAAGAGGAAGAGGGAACACTGGCTCTCTACCGGGTTGTTCGAAACTACGACAAGGCTCTGGTTGTGGACATCACTCCGGAGGATGCCCAGCGTCACTACCAAGAACTCTACGACACCAAGTATCAAGCCTGGAAGACGAAGTACTACTTGGAGAAGTTCCCTGAATGGCCGCAGGAGTCTTACGACAAGGAGCTTGTCAAGCTTTGCGAAAACTACGTCCAGGGTCTCCAATGGGTCTTGCACTACTACTATCACGGAATCGCCTCGTGGCCCTGGTTTTACCAGTACCATTACTCCCCCTTGACTTCTGGTAAGTAAAAATCAAATCTGACAAGAAAGAACAAGACTAAATATCAATATAGATGTTGTGAAGGGTCTCGGAGCGGACCTGAAGTTCACCCTGGGTCAACCGTTCAGACCATACGAGCAGCTGATGGGTGTCTTGCCTGACCGAAGCAAGTCTATCGTTCCTGAAGTCTACTGGGATCTCATGACGAATCCCAACTCCCCCATCTACGACTTCTACCCCCGAGACTTTGAGCTCGACATGAACGGAAAGAAGATGGAATGGGAAGCCATTGTGAAAATTCCCTTCATCGACGAGAAGCGTCTTCTTAGTGCCATGGCGACAAAGAATGATCAACTCAGCCAGCAGGAGAAGTCAAGAAACGGCTTCGGTGTTGCTCTCAAGTTCACGTATAACCCCGAGGTTGCGTACACCTACCCGTCATCTCTTGTGGGTGTGTTCCCTGAGATCAGCCCCTGCCATTGCATCGAGAACATTTTTGAACTGCCGAACACCGAAGGATTGAACTTCCGCAAGGGTCTTGTTGAGGGCGCCAAAATCAACATCGATGCCCTGGCAGGATTCCCTACGCTGCACAACCTCCCCTACACAGCGATGTTAGTTGAGCACTACGGTGTCAATGTTTTCCAAGCAGACAGCAAGAACCCCAGCATGATCATTACCCTCACTGATTCAGAAATGAGAACGAAGGCTGAAGTGGCCAAGGCCAAGCTTGGAAAGCGTTGCTTCGTTGGTTATCCTTTCTTGCAGGAAGCGAAGATCGTGAAGGTCTCCGACGAGCTCTTCGACTATGAGCTTGATGGACGCGATGGGTCCGTGATTACACGTCATCACGGCGATAGGGAGATCAGGGAATGGTCCAAAGAAGCCGCGTATATCGAGAATTGGCACGCAAAACGTCTCGGGTTCACCATCGGCACCGTCGAGTCCCTTGTTCAAGTTCACATGCTCAAGGGCTTGATCAAGACCGAGGAGGGTGCTCTGATCAAGGAGTACGCTGAGAATCCCAGCATGAGGAGCATCTACGCGTCCCAGACAATTGTCGACGAGGTCGTCAACGAGGATGAACGTTTCATTGAGAAGGCTGCCGTCCCCATTGAAGAAGAGTACCCAGTCGGTACTCAGGCTTTCTTCTTGGGCGAATTCCAATACGGACGAGCTCTCGAGGTCACTGGGCATGCTAACAACAAGGCGAACATCAGAGTCTTGGCCCTCAAGAACAAAGAGCCAGACTTCGCAAAGCCGATCATTCAAGATATGAAGCGCCAGAACCGGTACACTCCATCGTATGCCGTTGCCAAGATGCTGAATCTTCATCCCTTGATTCTGAGCAAAATCTTGTCATCCTATCAGATCAACACGGTTGGCGGTCTCAGAGTCAACCTGGGACTTAACCTCAAGTTCGATGCGAAGAAGCAGAAGGTCTTGGGCTACTCCCAGAAATCAGACTCTGGATGGGAGTTTAGTAACGCTGCCATTGAACTTTTGGCCAGATACATTGCTGCTTTCCCCGACTTCTTCGCAGCCATCCAGCAGAACCCCCAGTCAAGCGATGTCAGCGACACTGATCTCTGGAAGGATCCCAAGGTTGCCGCTGCGCGCGTGAAGGAGATTGGTGCCTGGTTGAAGTCAGCTCAGACGAGCAAGTTTGAGAGGGTTCCTTTGGATGCCGAGCAACTGGATTCTGTCGTGGTGATGCGTCTTGCTGAGGAGGGTGCGAACGTTTTCACCAACTCCCATGAGGTTGAGGTGAAGAACATGAAGGGCGTCCCGCGGTCAGCCATCATGAAGCCCAGCGACGCCGAGCTCTTCCTGAGCAATCAGAGATTTGCGCTCGGCGACCGCGTCAGCTTTCTGTCCTCTTCTGGCAAGGTGCCCTTGGGAAGTCGCGGAACAGTCGTTGGCTTGAGCCGCACCGCCAATCATGTACTCCTTGATGTCGTCTGGGATTTGACTTTCATGAGCGGTACGACACTGGGTGACAGATGCCCGCCTTTCCGCGGTATGACTGTCTACTCTTCGTCAGTACTCAACACTACACACAAGCAAGTTGTTTCTGGTTCAAAGGCCGGAAACTTGCGCCGGCCGGCACCTCCTGTATCTTCATCGCTCACCACTGGTGCAGCTGGTGTGGTTCAGTACAAGGATGCCCCTGCTCCTGGGCCCCTCGCAGGTGGTTGGCGCGGTGCTGTTAATGGCAGCCCCGGCCACTCTGGTCGCAGTCGCGGTCGCGGCGGTGCGCCCAACTTGCTGCACAGCAACCTGGTCTACCGTCCTGCCAATGGTGCGGGAGAGGGTCATGAAGTCAATGGTCATGGTCATCGCGGTGGAGGAAACCCGAACGGCAGAGGCCGCGGCCGTGGACGTGGTGGACCTGTCCAACACCCTGGACACTCAGGACTTCATGAGACGCCGCAGCAACCGATGTATTCCAACGTCCCACCTCCTGCCAACCTTGATGCTAGAGGCACAGGACGCGGACGTGGACGTGGCGGAAGGGGTAGGGGCGGTCCTCGCAGCCGTGGTGGCAATGGAGCCGGAGCGCCGGAATCTTAGGACGTCCATCGAATCTCCCGAGACAAGTCCCGCTGCCGAAAACGCCGGCCCAAGGCGACATCATTTTCTGATAGAAGGTATTGGTCTCTAAAAGAAGGCACATGGATAGAACGAAGACAGGCATGATACGGCGTATAGGCATAAAGGTGATGGCCTCCAGCGACGGTTGGTTACCTCCAAGTTGCCGAGATGTTGGCTGTAGCGATGTGGAAGAGGGTAGCATTATGTACAACAGCCAGTTCACAAGATCAATGCATCCTGCAACATTGTGTTGCGACCAACACTATTGTCACGTTATGATAAATGAACTTAAGACAGGCACGATTTGATGAGTGAAAAGGGAAAAAACCGTTTAGAATACGTGATATCTGCAGCCGCTCCTCTTACGGCTTCTTCTCCTTGACCTTCAGAGCAGGAAGCTTGAAGGCCTTGCTAACACCACCCTTGAGCGCCTTCCAGTATCCGAGGTCCTGGTTTTGGTTCCACGTCAAGATGCCGACCCAGGGTTGAACGTTGTAGTGAAGCTTCAAAACGACCTTGTCGGCTTCGGCGATCTTGCCCGAGGGGTGGGTGATTTGGTACTTGGGCTTCTGGTTCTTGATCTTGAGCTTGCCACTGTACGTTTGTTAGAATGCGCTCTCTGGTTGAAGTAGCTCCGAAGCAGTGTACTTACCGGCTGGGGTCGATGCTCTTGCCCTCGGCGCTCTTCTTCAGCTTGCGCATGGCAGCGGGGCCAATGTTGGCGAGGTGGTCGGAGCTAGGGGCGGTGATGATCTGGTCCCAAATGACGGCCTGGTTGGTCACGTTGACGCCGGGGATGGCGTTCTTCTTAGAGTTGTCGGGCCATTCCGCTGTCACGTAGACGAAGACCTGCTTGGTGTTCCAGGTGAAGAGGTCCGAGAGGTCGGCGTCGAGGGAGAACTTGATGATGGCGTACTCCTCCTTCTTACTGCTGTAGTAGTGGGGGCGGCCCTTGACGACCTGGACGTTCGTGGTCTTGATCTCGCCGGAGGAGGGCGCGCGCGGGGTGATGAGGTCCGTCGCGGCGATGAAGGCGGCGACGAAGAAGGCTACTGTTGTGAAGAAGCCAAATGCGTTCTGGGCGCGGGTTATGGTGTTGTACATTTTGGGAGGGATCGGGGCCGGCTGGGGCGCGGCGATCGTAGGGAAGGGCGGGCTGGTGTTTAGCTGCGTTGCATGAAGGAGAAGAGTGTGAGGTTTGGTTTTGCCCGCAACTACAAACTCCTTCTTAGGCCACGTTTTGCGGAAGCTTCAGCCTTGCGGAGACATGTGGCTTCAGCGGGTGTGGTCTGCGCCAGGGACCTATTGGCTGCAAAGCTATCAGCGCAAGGTTGAAGACCTGAGCTAATGGAAGTGACCTGTAAGCTTGGGTACGTACCGAGGTGGAAAGGTAAGAGCCGAACCGGTGGTGCGGACTGTGGATCCTAGTTCTCCAGTGGATCCTTGCCGGCACCCGGGGAAGCTCGATGCCAGCAGATGTCTCGTTCGAATGTTAGTTGAAGGTTGGTCTTGACATTCTTGAGCGAGGAAGTGTCGCGAAGAATGCAAGGCTTGTCAGCGACACATCTTTTTTTGTTTCTCGCAAAAGGACTCCTGCCATTTTTGCTTCGTCACTTTGAGGTGATCGTGTCAAGAGAAGAAGGACTGAAGCAGATCCATTTGCAAGCTCCCTTGTCAATCCATCTGTCCATCCCCCACGCATCTCATATGACTTCTCCAAGAGGCTTTGCTTTCGTTTGGCCCTTTCCCCTCTCTTCTCGAGTGTGGGCTGCCGTGAAAGAATCAGACGCTCAACTACATCTCAAGAGATTCGCATGACTTCCTGTTTGACCCTCTCATCTAGTATTCTGCTTCTATCCTGCCCATTCTGCTGCAACTAGCTGCCTTTGCACATCAAGCATGTTTTCAATTCATCTTGGACAATCCACTTCGACTAGCAGCCTTCACTCTCACCTCCCAAAAGCCACACTTCTGGAAACAACCTACGGTGGCATCTGTAGAAAAGGAAACCATGGCCCAGGCAAGAGATCATGGCAGAGAGGTCAGTCTGAAAACGATCGTTCAATTTGTTGCCGGTCATCTAATCTCATGCCTACGAAGCCAAGCGGCTAGAATGAGAGAAGGAGTGGGTGGACTGTCTGGAAGTGGCAAGTGCCTTCGCAGCGGGTGACGCGCCCGACGCGCTGGTTTAATTGAGTGGAACCTGCCAAACCTGCCCGTTATCGCCAGCACAGGCCTGCCACAAGGCTACCTGCCTACCAATCCGCTGTAGCCAGCGCGTGTCAGCGGACCCCTCGCCCTGTTAGCTGTACATGTGGCACCCTTCCACCTCAAAATTTCGACCCGAGTTGCAGGGCAAACCGCACCTTTTTGTCTGCGCAGACCCCACTACTAACCGACTTTCGTGAATGAAGAAGGAACACAGAACGACACCGCCTGCCGACCACGCACCTTCTTATCCCAAGATCTCGCCGCATTCCTGCGATGAAACGGCTCAAAAGTACGCAGTTCCTCACTCCTTGTCGTCCACGCCAACCTCAAATGCCCGCTCGCATTCCTTACCAGTTACCGGCACGAGACTGACCTTCCCCAGAGCCCTAGAGGAGCTAGGTCGAGAAAAGCCCGCGCATGAGGCAGAGGAAGAGAACGGATCCCAAGGCGGAGGCAAGACGTGCGGCAAGGACGGTGTCGCCGGGTCCACTATCAGGCGGAGAGCTGCGAGGAGGAACACCATCACGTATGCGTTTGCGCCAGACAGGTTCTCCGGGTTCACCACTGACAAACGGGTTGCAGAGCCGAGCAGCTACGAGAACGATACCGAGATCCCGAGAACCATTCGTTCCCTGCATACGGGTACACTACGACTTCATGCGCCGCCATAGACCATGTCACTGACCATGGCTCTTGTAGGAATCCAAAGGACGGAGTTCCCATTTCAGACCCAATGGTAAGGTCCACGGGCGGAAGAAAGACGAGCCTAGCTAATGCTAGGATAGAGTGCGAAGAGCAACAGATTGAAGGGGCTCTTAAGTGGTTCTTTTGCCCCTAAGAAAACCTTCGACCCGGGAACTGGGGGTCAGAACAAGAGGCCAAGCTACTCTACGACGACAAACAACGAACCCCCTAGGTCTGCGAAGCGCCAGAAGACGAAAGATGAACCCTCATCCGCCGCCGCGTACACAAACTCAACGTTCGCTCCTCCTCCTTCTCCATCGCCAGCCCGGTCGATCAGGTCCTCGTCGGCTGTAGATTTGACGAAACCTGACGTCGACGCTGCTAGCAACCGCTCGACTCAGCAGCCAGCTTTCCAGGTCGAAGAATACCGCACTGTGCAGAGGAACAATAGCGTTCCAAGGAAAAACACCCGGACACGGAAAAGGTCGGCCAACAAGTCGCCCGCCTCCAAGGTTCAACCGTTGGACATCGACGGCGAGGAGGATGAGATCTCACAGGATATGCCGGCAGTGAAGAAGCGAAATGTCGGCAAGATGGTACCTTTCAAGATGACACCTCTTAAGGGGTCACGGGATGCCTCAGAAGGAATTTCGGACAGCGACCTCCATAAAATCGACGAACTCGCCTCCGAAGCTGGTTCTGCCAAGAAGCGCCAGGTTTTCGACGTTGACCCTATTTCGGACGATGAAGCGCCGTCGCCGACGACGTCTGAAAGCCGCCTCGCCAAGGCCGACATGTCCCGTGTTGAATTCAAGAAGCAGAAGCCCGACGCGGTAATTTTCAAGCTGAAACGAGCTGTCTCTGGCAAACATGTACTCGTCGTCGATGAGTTACCTCCTGAAGAACAGCCACACCTCCAGGTTCTAGATGACAAGAAACATCTTATCGCATGCAGACGCAACGGTAAACGGCATCTCGGCTTTCATTGGATTGACGTGAAATTGAATTTCTGTTCAAAGATTCGCTATACGGCAACCGCGACCCAGTTAGCAAGCATTTCCAGATGTGCATCTGAGGACGCTCCAGGCTTCCTAGTGTTGGAATTTGCCGCGAATAATGATGCCCTTCGATTTGGAAATTGGGTTGAGGAGACAGCTGGAGGACTGCGTAACATGAAACTATTGTGTGAACCAGAAGACAGGTGAGTTGAACTACACACTCTAGCCCAAGGTGCTTCACTCACACCAAGCTTAGCCAACACCTTCAGAAGGTCTTTGACAAGCAATGGGAAAACGCCGTGAAGTACAAACCAGCACCTTGGACTCCAAAGCCAGACGACATCAAACATCTTGAGTCGAAGCAAGCAAGCAAGGACGGCGAAATTCAGAAGTCTACCCCGCGAACCAGCTCTCGTCCAAATTCCGCTCACCAAGATGCATCATACCAACCCTGCAAGCCGCTCAGAAGTAGTATGAACACGGGCGATCCTGCGTCTACACCCAGCAAACCCCCAAGAACGTCTTCTTTCTTCACACTTGCTGGTGAGAAAGATGCCAAAGCCGAGCCCCGACGGACTCGAGACTTGACGCAAAGACAGACTAGAGATGCGGCTGCCCGACGTACAACTGAGCCAAAGCCAAGCATTTTGGCACCGCGGTCGCCTAGTCCAGTACTGTGGACGGAGGAAAATAAAGAATGGAAAAAGATTTGGGACGACGACAAGCCACTCCTTTACCCAGAATTCGGCAAACACAAAGCGACTGTCATCAGAGATGATATTTTCAGACTTGACGAGGGCCAATTCATGAACGACAATCTCATCTGGTTCTACATGAAGTATCTCCAGGTCAAACTCGAAAAGGAGAATAAGCAGACCCACGACAGGATATATTTCATGAACACCTACTTCTACCCGAAGCTCACAGAAAAGTTGGGCCGAGGGATCAACTATGAAGGCGTCAGATCATGGACGACGAAAGTCGATCTTTTCTCTTACGATTATATCGTCGTTCCCGTCAATGAACAAGCGCATTGGTACCTCGCCATCATTTGTCACCCGTCCAAACTTATCAAAGCCCAAGAGGTGCAGGAGGTTGATAAAGAACCGCCCCAGGTTGCACAGAAAGAGGCTTTAGTCTCTGCGGTCGGCGAACAGGTGGAGCATATGAGTTTAGACGATCCTGCGACTGAAAATAAGGACACGGTCGTGCTCGTTGAACCAAAAGCCTCGCCTGTCAAGTCGCAGTTGCCCCGGAAAAGTACAGGGGCTCTACCTCGCAAGAAGGACCCCTCTGAGGCCAGAGTCATCACTCTGGATTCGCTCGGTGTTGGACACTCAGCGACTTGCGGAAACTTGAAAGAATATCTTGTCCGTGAAGCCAAAGACAAGAAAAATCTGGAAATCGAGGCTCCGGGCCAATTTGGCATGACTGCGAAGAATATCCCGGAGCAACTCGATCATGCAAGCTGCGGTGCTTTTCTGCTGGGCTACTTGCGAGAATTCTTGAAGGCTCCGGATGACACCGTTGGTCGCATTGTGCGCAAGGAGGAAATGAATTGGGATATCACGTCTATGACAATGCGAAGCGAGTTGCGCAGCATTATTATCGAGCAACGAGAAGAACAAAACCGACGTTTCGCTCTGCTTGCTGCAGAAAAGAAGGCCAAGCGCAAAACACCAAAGGCACCCATTTCGAGCAAGTCATCGGAGGAGCCAAGTGGCGTGCCCTCGACACCAAGGACTCCCGTCTCAGCTGGAGACGCGCCCAAGAATCCGTCTTCTACTATCAAAGGGTCCCCTGCGACCCCTTCGATCCCTTCGATCCCTTCAATGGATGGCAGCAGCTCTCCCGTCAAGACGGAAACCAATGGCGAAGCACCACCTGTGCACGATAGTGTACCTCAAGAGCCATCTGGGTCTGAAGTCGGCATAGCCAAGACCGCGGAAGAGCTGCAGCCTGTCGCATCGAAAATTTCTGAACGGCCGAAAACGCCGCCCAGGTCTGAGCCGCCCGCAAAGGTCAATCCTTCCCCAACTCAGCAGAGAACGAGCCCTCGCTTCAACAAAGGCAAAACGAATGGTCAAGTTGACAAGGTGCAAACCACCGACGAGGCTCCTGCTGCTTCGCCTTCGGCAACCTCGAAGGCGGAGTCAGCCCAAAAACGACTGAGGAAACCAGGGTCTAGTCCGGCAGAGGAGATCATGAACCGGATATCATCACCGTCCAAGACTCATCCCATGCCTATCCGCACTGAGCGGCGTGCTTCTAGGCCCACCGAAAAAAGTCCGACTCCAACCCAGCAGCTTCTAAGTGAATCGCAGGATTCGCCGTCCAAAAAAACACTAGTACAGAATCTCACCCACACGGCCGAACGCCCAAGCACGCACAAAGACCGATCAACGCCGAAACAGAAGCATCTCCAAACCCTCACGCAGGCGCCCACACTAACGAGCCCCTATTTCGCGCCTCCTGTCAAGTCGCCGCCTTCAGCGACTAAGCCTAGACAACTGAGTATCGAGGAAATACCTCAACCCATATCGACTCAACCCATACCTAGCATTGAGGATGAGGGGCTTTACCACAAGTCACCCGGCAACAGTGGTTTCAAGTCCAGCCAGACTGTGACTGTAGACCTCACCGACTAGGGCGTGCTTCAAGATACGCATGATGATGAATTTAGCGAGAAGCAGCCAGTTGTGGCTGAAGCGAAGGAGACATAATGAGCTTTGGCAGGCATTCGAACGGTTGGAACAACCGATCAAGTAGATTTGATCTTTTTGCCTTTCGCCGATTGATTGGTTGGCGAGGCGTTGTTAAGGTAGCGCATGGTCCCATAGCATAGGAAGCCTTGATATCCATACCCATAGAGTTATAGCATGGCGTCAACAGGGGGCCGGGAAGAATTGATGAAGTTCTCGAAGAGTGGCTGCGATTTCCATGGCCTTGATGGAGAGTAGAGGCTCATCTCGTAGATCGTACATTGTGGTACAAGATCCTCTATGCAAACGTCCCAGCTCCTTCCCTCTCTCCCAGGGATATATAAACACGTCTAACTTTTAATCGCTTCCCGAATCTGATGCATCATTATGGTTGCCGTTTACCTCTGGCTTTTTCACCACCCTCGGCACTTCAAACACGTAACCACCGTTCTTCCCCTTGCCCTTCTTCATCTGCCACCTGCCCAACCTGTGCTCCTTTCCAACTGCAGCGACGACGCAAACACCGTCTTGGCCGCGGTCACCGCGCTCAAAGATGGCAATATCATTAATCACGCCCTTCAGGCCGCAGACATCTGCTGACTTGCCGTTGGGCGCAGATTGTGAGGCTCGCTCGGCCTCTGATGTGAGAACACCCGCCGCCTCAATCTTTCTCTTGTCTTCGCTCAGCCGCCACACTCTTATGCAACCGTCCCAGCTTCCACTGAGGATGACATCTGAGTAGGGAATCGTCTTGAGCGCTGTGATCCACCGCGGCTGAGGCGGCGGTACGAGGCTCGAGTCTGGGTTGTGGTCCGCCGAGATTTCGTCAGGGCGGAGGGGTTCTTCCAGGCCGTGTGCCATGGGGAGGATGAAGATGGGCTTCTTCTTGGTCACGCCCCAGAGCGCCAATGAGCCGTTGTCACTGCCGGTGACGAAGAGCTCGTCATCGATCATGGCTACACGGTCCATACTGCCCTCATGAGGGAGCGAGCGCGGATCAACGTCTGGACGGGACTTCTTGTCTACTGCACCACCGCGGAAGACGAGCTGTGTCTCTTCCGCAACCTTCCACAGACGTGCTGTGCGGTCACGCGCGCCCACGCTGACGCAGCGTTCTTGGGCGAGGGCGTCAATGTCGACGATCTCGTCTTGGTGTCCGAACAGCGTCTCGATGTACGCGAGCTCGTCTAAGCTCCAGACCTTGACGGTACGGTCTCTTGAGCAGGAGTACAGCTGATTTGTGCCACGACGGAATGCAAGACCAGTCACAGCGTCGCGGTGGTGCGTGAAAACGCGGATGGGCTTGAGGGTTTCGGCGTCGTAGATGATGAGCCTGCGGTCCTCGCCGCCGGTGACGACGTACTTGCCGTCCGGCGAGGCGGCAACGCAGAGAATCTTCTCTACATGACGCTGGAATGACTTGTTCCTGGCGGCATTGATGTTGCCCCTCAACCATGTCTGCAGCTCGGGTCGCTTGCGCGGCGGCGCGGGCGGCTTCTTGGGCTTCTTGCGCGTGGTCTGTTGGAACTGGTTCTTCGGCAGGTCTTGTATCCTCCACTTGTGTACGTACAGATCCTTGGTGGTGGTGTAGGCGTAGGGGAAGTTGACGGCAACGGAGGTAAAGGTCTCGGTGTTGTTCTTGAAGAAGGAAGAGGTCGCGTTGCCAAAGGCAAGTTCGTCCGCGAGCTGGCGGTAGACTTTTCCCTTCGACTCGGCCACGTCCTCTTGTAAGCGCTCGTTGATCAGGTCGCGGTCAATCTCGGCGGCGTCGAAGCCCGCAAGGTCCACCTGCTCCTTGACGTTCTCGAGGTACTGCTCGGCCAACCTCAGGCGGCGCTCAGCAGCCGTCTCGCCGGGCACCTCGTCGTCGTCGTCTTCGGAGCCATTGCTCTCTTCGGGGCCGGCGCTGACTATGCTCTCATCGTCCGAGTCGCTACCCGAGATGGATTCGTCGTCGTCGTCACGCTCAGTTCGCTTCTTGGAGGCGGGTGCTGCTGATTTCGCGCCTTTCGCCGCGCCGGTCTTGCCTTTGGCTGCTGCCGCTTTTGGAGGGGCCCTGTTGTTCGCGGTCTTGGAGGCTGCGATTCGCTTCTTAGGAGCCTCGGGGGCGGCTGTCCTCTTGCGCTTCTTGTTCGATCCGGGGATTGTGAAGAAGGAGGACATGTTGGGCACGCGGTCGGGTGACCTCTAAGGGGGTATCTGGGCGAATTGCTCCCGTCTTCGCCTGGGCTGCCTTCTCGGTGAACTTTTTTTTAGGTGGGCATCCAGTCCAGGAAAAAAAAAAGTTCTGGACGGGTACGTATTTCGGAGAATCAGATGTCAATGTGGGGTCGCTTGGGCCAATTGAGTGAGATGCGGCAGGGGTGGTTTTTCCGGGCTCGGAGGCGGGTGGCGGTCTGATTCGGCAGAATTCCGCTGTCGGCTGGTGCGTTCAGGCTGTAGCTTGACTGCGCGTTCCGGGGGGTAGCTCGACGTAGCCACCAGGTAGAAGGCTGACGAGACGACGACCCATACCCAACGACCGAACAAACCAAACAACAAACTTCCACCCCTCCAACCACGAAGCAGACACAGCAACAGCAGCCATCATGTAGGTTTAATTCTCTACAGCTTCTCGTTGGTTTTCATGGATGCAATGGCTAATGTGAATTGCGTCGGGCAGGGAGGTGTTACTCGGTATCACGGGCAAGGACTTCACCATCATTGCAGCTTCCAAAGCTGCCATGAGAGGCGCTACCGTCCTCAAGGTCGCCGACGACAAGACGAGACCTCTCAACAAGCACACACTGATCGCGTACTCTGGCGAGGCGGGTGACACTGGTTAGTAGCTACTGTGTGCCCCACCGAGCTTCCCCTCCTACCCGGTTCGGGCGGGAAGCTTCATCGTCACGACGGCGAGATGGGTGCTAACGTTAGTATGAAATTAGTGCAATTCGCCGACTACATTCAAGCAAACTCCCAGCTCTACTCGATGCGTAACGAGACGGACCTCTCACCCTCCGGCCTGGCCAACTTCATCCGCGGCGAGCTCGCCTCGAGCTTGCGTTCGCGCAAGCCCTACAACGTCAACCTCCTCCTTGGCGGCGTCGACCCCATCACACAGAAGCCTGCGCTGTACTGGCTGGACTACCTCGCCTCGCTGGCGCCGGTGCCATATGCCGCCCACGGCTACGCACAGTACGTTTGCCCAGGGAGCTCCATATCTACCACGAGCGGAGCATGATTCTCGGAGGCGGAACGACAGAAGCTGACGATGATACAGATACTACTGCCTGTCGATCCTCGATAAGCACCACCACCCCGAAATCACCCTCGGCCAGGGCATCAAGATCTTGAACATGTGCACGGACGAGCTCAAGAGACGGTTACCGATTGACTTCAAGGGCATGGTGGTCAAGGCCGTCACCAAGGACGGCATCGTGGACATAGAATTCGACGATGACAAGGTGGTGAGGGCTCCTTGAGCGAAGCAGGCGGCGGATGAGTGATGAAAAACGGGCCCTTTTTTTGATGACGTGCAAGGAGCACCAAGAGGCCTTGCCAGCAACAACTGTACTACTAGACCGGGCTGGTAATTGATACAGGCATCAGTTCTATCATGAGAAGCGAGGTTGAAGAGGGTTACATGGTGCTGTCTGAGTGATGCAACTTGCTGGGGCTTTCTAACCGGCTCAGTTGGCGAGACCGACCAGTTGACCCGGGATATAGCCAGCATGCGTTCGAAAACACATATCCTGCGAGACCGTATTGTGTAAAAAGGCCTGGATATGGTGCCTGTCTTTTCTACAGCAAGGCACACGGTTCCGACGCTCGGATTTAACTTTGCCTGACAGCGGTGTGATTTTCGCTGTATCAGCGTTTGAAAAGCGCTGAGTCGGGGTTGAGGGGCAAGCGGTGAGGTCACGGTTTTGTAGCATAAACAGGGATAACGGGCGTTTGAAACGTGGGAGGAGGGCCGTACCAAGCGGTGCCAGCACCAGCCAGACCGGCCGTTTGGCCGTACTTTTTTCCTTTTCGCTTCTCGAATCGTTCGTTTCTTGCCCGGCGTATGTGTGGTGTGTGTAATTAGGTGTGATCCGACAACATGTTTGGCTTCATCCCATCATCTCGGGCGTCTCAAGAGTTGTGAGGATTAGGACGGCATGCCGGCCGGCCGGTCGAATCAGAACCGGCGATACGTACCCGACCGTCTGGACTAGGCCGGATGTTGACTCGGTCGTCCTGCCCTCTGAGCAACAAATCCCTTGTGAAGCTGACTAGTATGAAAGTAAATGCGCGTTTCTTTATTGGTCGCAACGGGCAGCTCGGCGGTGCCGATGCATCAGACAATGAAATGCGAACGGTGGTTGGGATTTCTCGGGTTCTGTATTTTTCATGCCGCGACCCTAGGCGGAGGGAAGTTTTGCCCTGGGAGTGGCGTGGTTGAGTGTGTCCGGCCAGACAACTGGAATTCAACGGGGTCGGTTGTCGTAGTGGAGGACGTGGGATGTGTTAGGGGCCATACGAGTGCAAGGACCCAGGAGATGACGTAGGTGAGATAGTGCCTTCATAGAATTTCTCATAGAAAGCACTTGCAGTCGAGGGCTTCCTGTACCACGTCTGGGTTTCTGGAATGCGAGTCCAAAACCCAAAAACCTAAGTTATGGCGTTGTAGTGGTTGGTTGAACCTCCAGATTGAGTTTCCATGTTCCGGTGTTGAGCATCCGCTTGTCTTTTCGACTGAGGGTGGGGGTGCTGCCCATGGTCTCAGCTATCTGGATAGCCTAGCTCAGTGTTCCAAGAAGGCGGATTATTGGAAAATAGTCAAAGCCAACGTCTTAGTTTAGTCGTTTCGAGGGATGGCCAAGGAGAAGGAACAGAAGCAAATCGGATCATTTCTTCATCTTAGCCTGCGTCTGCCTGGATCGACTGTTTGGTCATCGCTGCGTAAAGTTTGTCGAGAAGAGGCCCTTTTTACGCACCTCGGAAAACACCACACCAACGTGCTGACTGTAAATGCTGTTGATGGACTTGCCAAAAAAAAAAAAAAAAAAAAGCCTCCCAAGCCTCCAATTCCTCAAGTCGCCACTCTAGCCACCAAACCCCCATTATCGACTTCACTGCGGGGCACTTTGCAACCTCCAACTTCGTCTCTTGTTTCTCGCTCCCGTCCAGTCTAGTCTAGCCCCTGTCACTTGACTCACCTTGGCCCAAATAGGCCACCACCAACCTCTCTGCCTTTGAACTTTTCGTCAGCCTTCAGCAGAAATTCCAGCGACCGAGCCATTTGGGAGAACAGCGGGGGAAAAGGAAGGGAATTTTAGGTGCTCGTCTTCATCCATCATCGATATACGTCTTTTAGCCCTTCCCCAGACTAGATCTAGCGCACGAGCCGACTAAACCTGGCACCATCGGAATCCGGATACATTCCGTACTTTATTCAAGATTCAGGGTCCCGTTCATGCTTAGGCTAGGGCGACATCGACGTGACGTTTAGGTCGATTATCGATAACAAAACGCCCTGTGACACCACCACCACAGAGACCGCAAAAGGAACAATCCGCTTTGCTCATCGCAGGTACGTCCATACGCCGAAGGTGTGTTTCCTTCGCCCCAGGTGTCCTTCCAACCCCGGTATTCCGCGAAATCCCCGCTGTTGTCGTTGTCCCCGTCGTCGCCGTCAACAGATTGGCTCCCTCCTCAGGCCCGCGCAAAGAGCGCAAGAAAGAAAGGGGGAGGGAAAATTTTGTTGCAGGGCCGTTGGTTGGTGTGGCAGGTAACTTAGTGCGTGGCCTGTCACCTCACATGTCATCATTTCCTTCCCACGCTGCAAAGAGCAAGCACATGCTGCTACGTCTACGGGGAACGTGGCCAATCCGGTGCGTTGCTTATCCACTCGTCTGGCGGCGGCGGCCTGTACTGGGTACCGGCTGAGAGCCAGAGCCAGAGCCAGGAGCCTGGAGCCTGAGCGCGGGCAGGGCAGGTTGTCCTCGTCGGCGCAGTGGAAGGAGGGAAAGAACCTGGGAACTTGGAAGGCGAAACCAAGCAGGCAGGCAGGCAGTGGAGGCATGCCGTAGGACTCACCTTCCATCCCGTCCCACCAGTGCAGCGTTAGTGCGGGTGGCAGTCTCTACCGACCTTACCACCTTAGGTTCCTTCCAGCAGGTTGCCTGCTGGCTGTGGAAGGGAGGAAGGCGCCTCCCAAATTTTTTTTTCCTCAGAGGGGGTGCATTGCCAGAGTCACAACGCACTGCCAACAGACACAGGTTGCAGGGGTGTCTGGCCTTTTCTGGTGGATTCCGACACAATCTCAAACCAATTTTTTTCTTCCCTACTTCTTGCCTCCGATCTCCAGTCCCTTTTCCCTCCCACAACCTCCCCCTCAAAAACTCTTCCCACACCACAAAAAGGGATTTTCCTATCCTCACATCCCCCAAACCACAAACCCTCTCACGCATTTGTTCTCTTGTCTTTCCTTTGAGCATCTTGGGAAATACAAGGCCTCGGAACTAATCAGTGCCCCAGAGCACGCAACGCGCCTGCCTAATTAGACGACAGAGACGAACGTTTGGAAGTCACCCCGACTTTCGGTTTTTCTTTCTCTTTCATCCTTCTTTCGGTTTGCCTGTTTGTTTTCATCTCGACAACGGACCGGTTTCCCTTCATTTCATCTACTCTCTGCTGCATTCCACAGTCTTTTCGAGAGTAACGATCAACCGACTCGACTCGCCTTTCGAGATACCCTTCTGTCGACACCACACAACTCCCGTTTCTTCGACAGACGATCCGATCAACCCATCCATCATGGCCGATCAACTCAACATGTCTGGCCTGAACATTCAGGACCAGCAGAACCAGCCTCGTTCCTACATCCCTCCCCACATGCGTGGTAAGATCAACGGTGGTGGCGGTGGTGGAGGTCCCCCTCCTGCTGGCCCTCCTCCCATGAACGGCGGTCTGAACAACAGCGCCTGGGCTGGGTAAGTCAACCCTTCTATGAGATCCCCTCCTGGCCGTCGTGCCTTCCGTAACTGACCCATTTCCCAAGCAGGAACCAGAACTTCGACGCTCGTCAGGGCGGTGGCGACTGGCCGGCCATGGGCGGCCCCGGTGGTCCTGGCGGTCCTCCCGCTGCTGGACCCCCTCCTCAGCAGCAGCCCTACCAGCCTCGCGGAGGCCGCAACTGGGGCGGTGAGGGTGGTCGTGGAGGCTACAGCGGCGGTGGTGGCTACGGTCACAACGCCGGCGGCGGCGGTGGCCAGCAGGCTCGCGGATCCGGTGATGGCCAGTGGCGCGACGGCAAGCACATTCCCGGCCCCGCCAACCCCCGTGTCGAGCGCGAGCTCTTCGGAACCGCCGACGACCCGTCCAAGCAGCACACCGGTATCAACTTCGAGAAGTACGACGACATTCCCGTCGAGGCCTCCGGACACGACGTCCCTGAGCCCGTCCTGACCTTCTCCAACCCCCCTCTCGACAACCACCTTATCGGCAACATCGAGATGGCCCGCTACAAGATGCCCACCCCCGTCCAGAAGTATTCCATCCCCATCGTCATGGGTGGCCGTGACCTCATGGCTTGTGCCCAGACTGGTTCCGGAAAGACTGGTGGTTTCCTCTTCCCCATCCTCTCCCAGGCTTTCATCCACGGCCCCTCTGCCATCCCCGCCAACGCCGCTGGCGGTTTCGGTCGTCAGCGCAAGGCTTACCCCACCTCTCTGATTCTCGCCCCCACTCGTGAGCTTGTCTCTCAGATCTACGATGAGTCTCGCAAGTTTGCCTACCGTTCCTGGGTTCGCCCTTGCGTCGTCTACGGTGGTGCCGACATTGGCTCCCAGCTCCGCCAGATCGAGCGCGGCTGTGACCTGCTCGTCGCCACCCCCGGTCGTCTTGTCGACCTTATCGAGCGTGGTCGCATCTCCCTGCAGAACATTAAGTATCTTGTGCTGGACGAGGCCGATCGCATGCTTGACATGGGTTTCGAGCCCCAGATCCGTCGCATTGTCGAGGGTGAGGACATGCCCAACGTCCAGAACCGCCAGACTCTCATGTTCTCGGCCACCTTCCCCCGCGACATTCAGATGCTCGCTCGCGACTTCTTGAAGGACTACGTCTTCCTTTCCGTCGGTCGTGTCGGTTCCACTTCTGAGAACATCACTCAGAAGGTCGAGTATGTTGAGGACGTTGACAAGCGTTCCGTGCTCTTGGATATCCTCCACACCCACGGTGCTGGTCTCACTTTGATTTTCGTCGAGACCAAGCGTATGGCCGACTCTCTCTCCGACTTCCTCATCAACCAGAACTTCCCCGCCACCTCCATTCACGGTGACCGCACCCAGCGTGAGCGTGAGCGCGCTCTTGAGTTCTTCCGCAACGGTCGTTGCCCCATTCTGGTTGCCACTGCCGTTGCTGCTCGTGGTCTCGATATTCCCAACGTCACTCACGTGGTCAACTACGACTTGCCCACCGACATTGACGACTACGTCCACCGCATTGGTCGTACTGGTCGTGCCGGAAACACTGGTCACTCCACTGCCTTCTTCAACCGTGGCAACCGTGGTGTCGTCCGTGACCTCATTGAGCTTCTCAAGGAGGCCAACCAGGAGGTTCCCAGCTTCCTCGAGACCATCGCCCGCGAGTCTTCATACGGTGGTGGCCGTGGCGGCCGTGGTGGTCGTCCTCGTGGTGGTGGCCAGGGTGCCAACCGTGACTTCCGCAAGTTCGGTGGTGGTGGCTTCGGCGGTCCCCCCGGCGGCGGCGGCGGCGGCTTCAACAGCGGTGGTGGTGGTGGCGGCTACGGCGGCGGCGGCGGCGGTGGTGGTTTCGGCGGTGCCCCTGGAGGTGGCTTCAGCGGCGGCGGTGGCTACTCCGGCGGCGGCGGATATGGTGGCGGTGGTGGCTATGGCAACCCCAGCGGTCCCGGCGGAAACTCGTCTTGGTGGTAAACGTCTCTCCACCACGACACTTGGCAGCTGTGACAACATGAGTCTCACAGCCTTTGCCATGCAGCGTCTGCAACACGCTGCCAGTTTTCGATTTCTCCTTTTTTGATTTGCGCGCATGGGTCGACACTGTACGCATTCGTCGTTTCTCGTTTCTCTGCATTTGGACTTCGACACGGCGGCGTGGCCCCGAGAGCCGACGGTATTGCCTCTCAATTTTCAACGAGAAGCATCATCGGGTGTTCGGGCAGGCATCGGCATCGATAGAGAGCATTTCTTTTTTTGCTGGACCGAAACTCCATGATACCCTTAGACCGACATTGGGAAAAGCTTTCAGAATCGGCAGAGCGCATGAAGAACACCCACATGCGGTGTGCTACAGCGTGGCTGGATCTACGGATACACGACACGGATCCTGGATCTGCTACGCATTACGACGTTCATGTTACTGCTTTCTTCAAGCGTTTCCCGAAGGGCATTTTCTCGCTTTTCGATGATAGAAGGGTCATGCATTTCGCCGTGCATACATAGACAAAAGTGGATTTCTCGGTCGTCTGGTTCAACGTCACAACAGCTTGCCCCCGGGGCAAACAGGGCAGGGCAGTGACATTCAGGACGAGGCGGCGGCATAGACTGGACTGGTAATGGAAGGATCGGATGGACGGTCGACAGAACGGATAATTACAAGACGTTTTGAGAGCGGGAACCAGAGGCCCTCCCCGGTACAAAATAGGGATTCACAGGGAGGGGATACAAAAGTTCTTGCTCTTAATCGGTTAATGGCCACACATGGACGTGGTCTTCAGCTCAGGCAATGGGAAATGGATTGCCGAGGGCTGGAGGCATCAGAGACTTCGGTCTTGGGTTCGGGGCAAAGCGGCCGTGCAAGGCCTCCCCAGGTAGACAGCCAGTCTGGACGGAGAGTCCCAATAAAAACAGATTCTGATAAACATGTTGTCTTGTGCATGTTCTAGCATTCATGTAGAAGAAAAACGTTTCGTGACCCAAAAACGACTTGCGGAGGTGGAGGGAATCTCAAACACACGGCATATGAGGATTTTGTCGCCTGGAGACATCATTACAGCAGGTGGAACTACTTGAATTGAATTTTGAATCGTGGTCTTCTCCCTGGCTCAATTATTAGCGAAACATTGGACTCAAACAGAGAACGTCAGTTCTTGGAGGGCAAGTTTATCGAGACTCAATGGAATTCCGAGAGGGAAAAAGAAACTCGTTATTAACGCCCACTGCCCAGTCTTTTGAACCTTGATGACTTAATCGGGTGGTTTTTTTCTTCTATCATCAAATTGATCTAGATAGAAAGAATTATTTATTCGGAATCTAATGTAAGCTTCAAGGTATCTACAGATAGCCTGCCAGTTGGCCTCATCTTTCTGAGAGAGACGTGGGGGAAAACTCTATTCGCATCATCGCAGTCTAATAAAATACCTCACCAGTCGTTCCGCAGTACTCACCTGGAGTGACGAAAACCGGGTGGAGTTGAATCCGTGGAGAGGCCCGGCTAAGACAGGAGGATACCAGGCAGGCTGCAGCTGCAGCCCGCGGGCGAGGCCTGCCCGGTGAGGTACGTAGTTCGCGCAGACTAAGGTAGGTGTTGGACCAGGAATTTTAGTGGCCGGGGGATAGCCTGACGCGCTCCCCCAAATCGTGAGCTCGTGCATGCTGTAAGTGTGGTCTTCCCGGGTACCTCGCAAGTTGGTGGGAATCTTACGGCTCAAGATCAGCTGGTCTGGGCGGCGGAAAGTCCAATCGCGGCTCACACTTTCTCTCCTTCTCCGTTCCGTCACATCAAACACATTCACCCATCCCTCAACCTCGCGATTGGCCTTTTTTTGTTCCAAGCAACATCTCTCCATCAATTCACCCAGCCACCTCGAAAGCTGCGCGTCTCGATAATTGCGCCCGCGGCCACGACGACTTCCGCATTCGTGTTCCCGACCGACGGCGCTGCCCCAGTGATCACGACCTTTCCGGCTCTGTTCTGAATCACCTGTGCCCTACCGATCGATCAGCCTCGTCGCACCTTTCCATCCGATGGCGCCCGCTTCACCCAGTTCCACTGCGGCAGGCGCCATGTCGGACGCGGAAGCCCCGACATCTCCCCCTCGCGCTGGCGAGGGCAAATCCTTCGTCTCGCAGGCAATGACTGAGGACGACGATACGCAAATGATGGATGCGACTCCGGAGCCGACCGAGAAGACTTCAGGCCGTGGTAAGAAGGGCGGCCAGTCAAAAGATTCATCTCAGGTCGTCACCGGAAAGATTAGACATCTGAAGAAGGAGGATGGCGAGCCCCTCTGGCGCAAAGACATCCAGTATGACTTCCTCAGAGCCATCTTTGATGACGAGAATGAGGTCTTCACCAACTCCTACGACCCCGACAAGGGCCGCCAGAACTTTGCCGATCTCTACATCGACACCATGTCGCGTAGCAGCAAGACGAGCAAGGTCTTGCGCGACAAGCTGCTTAGCGACCGGAGTGCTGCCAAGGGAATGGCAATGGTCTGTCTGCTGGTCAATATCGGAAGGATGAACACGACGCTCAATTGTAAGACTATCTTCCTCGTTTGCCTCACTTGATTCTCGTGCTGACGAACCCCTAGTTTTTCCCGAGATGCGAGCCCAATTACGAACCTACCACGCCATCCCTTCCCTGCAGGCCAACCAAGATGCGCACGCCTATAAACAGCTTCAAGACGCCCCGAGATTGAAGTCCATCCTGAAGGGCGGCGCTGAGGATCGGGAGGAGCCCTCCTCTCTCAACAAGATAAAATCTTTGGAAGCTCCGAGGACGAACCCGGTCAACCTGCTCTTCTTGATATGTCAGTCGGCTGCCAAGATTGCCGAGCTGCACTTCCCTCCTGGGCGGGAGTTCCACGATCTCGTTATGAAGACCAACTACACCAGCAAATCCCGTGCGAGGGCTTTCCTCTGGGTTATGTGGTTCTATCTCGAATCCGATTTCACGGAAGAGGGTTGCGAAGAGAACCCGTTTGGTTCGGGTGTCGACTACAACGTAGATGTCGCTAATCAAGGCATCCCCGAGCTGGAGATCATGACCCCCGAGGAAGAGGCGCTGGAGAACGTTGACACGCCCGCCGAGATCCAGTTTGGAGAGGAGAAGCAGAAGATGCGTGCTAAGATTCTTGAGGCGGACCAGGCATACCTGGCCGACAGTCAGACCAAGCGAGGTTCGAGAACATCTCGTATCATGGCCGAGGAGGGGCCAGCAATCTTACCGAAGATCCGCCCATCGAGACACGAATCCGATCTGGATAGTACGAGATCGACACCGCCGCCAAGGGCTCTGGCCCGCGGGCTTGGAAGCACCATTAGACGTGGCGGAGCCTCTCTCAAGTACCAGATCTTCGAAGGCTCCTCGCCAGCTGGCCCCGGCCACCATCAAGCAGAGGGGATTCCCACCCGAAAGCCTCGACCGCCCACGGCGCACCAGATTGCAGTTGAGAGGAACAGGAATCAGAGGGTCGAATACATCCTCGACCGTGGCATCCGCAAGCAACACCATAAGGCCAGAAAGGCCCGACGTCAAGATGGTGCCATCTACCGCCAGTACCAGCGTAACCTGCATCTTTCAGACCCCTTTGAGAACAGCGACGGTGAGGATGGCTCCCAGCCGTTTGTCGGTGGTGACAAATCCCTTGGCCTACTTCGGCTCAAATTTGGCAGCGTGGGAGATACCGATGACTTTGGCGAGGAGGCAGCCTCCTATGCTGCTGCTATCCGACGCGCTACGAGACGCCTACGCAGGTGGGCGGCGCACGAAGGACCCCCGCTTGGCGTCGTCCCTGCTCGAAAGAAGAGAAAGCAGAATGGTGTTGAAGATGGCGATGAGAGGGGTGGGGACATGGACGCCTCTAGGATGGGCACTCCATCCAGGATGAATGGTGACGCGGATGGAGACATGACTCTGGGTGGCGTAACCATGGGAGACATGACGATGGACTACGATGATGACGGCGGCGACGAAGACGACGACGAAGGCAATGAGACGCTTCTTCGCGACGACGGCTTCGAGGACGAGACGCTGCGTGTTGAGGAGTAAAAAGACGGGCGGACGGAAATTGTTCAAGCGAGACGCATCACATCGTCGTTCATCCTCCCTATAAGCCGTAAAAGTCGGCGATTGATAGACAGAGCAGGGGACGTCCCCTCTTTGATTTCCCTTTCCTTGAAGTTTTAGACTCGCGGGCGTCGGAGTTGTATATTAGTAACACTACAAAAAGCCGGGCGTGGGAGGATATGCGGGCGAAGGGTGAAGGATCACTGACGCTTGAGAGTATCTCTAGGAGCGTCTGCTTCTACTTTCTTTTTTAACGTATTAGTTGGTTCTTTTCTTCTTTTTCTGTAGTACTTTGTCATCGTGCCCAAACTTGCACGCGAATTCGATGAAAGTTTATATCAAATCCTAATCGAGACTTTTCTTCCAGCCTTGCCGTACTGTTTGATGGGAAGACGGAATGCGTTAGTTGCCAATCGAGAGCAATGAGAGAACAGAAGTGGCCATAATATAGAAACTTTGCCAAACCATCATTCCCAGAAGGGAGCATGGTCGCTTTCTTCCTTTGACTGATTCAGCTAATGGTGCCAACATGTGGACGGCCACGCTGCACATACAAAGGTCGGATTAACGGTTTCTTCGTGGCATCCAACCAACCCAGAACGTACTGATCGTAGTGCGTGCTTGATAGACACGCTTCTGACGCTCGAGACGCCTAATTCTACTACACATTAGTCAAACTCTGTCATGTTTTTGGACCAATTCGAACCATTGGCAGCCAATAGCACTCACCGAGGTACCTTTGAATTTCATAGCATTATCAGTATGTTGCTGGTCGGGTAGACGGAGATTCGAAAGCAAGGATAAGAGGCCGGCTGCCGATGCTTCATGACGACAGCTTGGCTTGTTTACTCCTGGAACTGTGTGAGATGAAGTCTGAAGAGGCCTTGTGGTGAAAACTCGGTTCTTGCCATTCTCCATTCTTCTTGCTACGTCTTGGTTGTATTCTTACTGCTCCCTGCGCAGCTGGTCGTTTCGTCGAGAGTCTTTAGACACAAGTTCAGAGCTCTATTTACACTCGCAGTTTCATTTGAACGTGAACAACGGGTCGGCATCTCCCATTATTCTTCTATCTGTCTTAGCTTTGCTTCTAGAATTACATTCCATATAATCTTTCTTACCTAGAATAGACGCACGGAAGGATTTTTTTGTCCACATGTCACAGGATGTGGTTAGGTATGCATGTTAAGATTGGCGAGAGAACGAAAGACATGATGAGAGAGAACAGACAACATGTAACTGATGGAAATGAGACGTGATGAGGCTCAAAAGTAAGGCGACCGGTTTCTTTCAGATGCAAAATCTCATTCACAGGGTGGCAAGGAAGCTTGTGTTGGATGAGCAACTTCGCGGACGACTGAGGGCTGGGCTTGATATTCCATCATCGTCTGCGAAATTTCTTCTTCTGGTTCACAGTAAATAGTAGAAATGAAATCCCTTTCATCACTCGCGGGGGCTTTTCTCGAGGCTTTTGCTTTAGCGTGTTGTGAACTATGCTTGGCATGACGTTCATCAGCCATGGGAGCCTCGCTGATTCCATCAATTGCACGAGGGTATGCTAAATAATGAATATCACAATCAGTCGCAGCAGTAAATGGATGTTTAATGTGACGGCACTACTCACGTGGAGGGACTGACATTTCTCAGCTTCATAGGTGGCGCAGTTGTTACCAAAGTCCCGATGTTGTCATCGATGTTGCGATCGATGTTGCAATCGTGCCACTTTTCGACTAGGCCAGAACTAGAAGACCTCAAGGTACGAGAATGTTCAGCTTCAGTGTTCCAAAGTCCGCTAGATGGCAAGAGAACACCGAGCCGGTCTGTCAGCTACGTGGACATGTTAGACTTTTAGTTGCTCTTAGGCTACAGAAACGTAACGCCACGCATGTCTGCGGATGTATATTGTGTACTCCGCCGCCCAGATGCTCTCTCGCGCGCGGGTAACTTGCAGAGTCAGACGTGCAGTCCCCTCGGCGTCCTCGAGACCGCGCGGCAGATACAAAGACGCAGCGCCCTGCCTGATCTGTAAGCAGCTCGGGCAAAGTCTCTATGAACAGCGATACATGTTGAGAAGGACGAGTCGACTACAACGCTACTGCAGGACCGGGCCGCCAGGTGTCTGGCCTCAACCCGAGCTGCCCGCGTGCCCATTTGTAAGAATGCCATGACCCTGCTGCAGCAACACCGCACCCGACTGCAGATCTCGATAAGTTCCGCAGGTCTTCTGCTGGGTGGCTAGGTTGAGTCAGAAGGAACCTGCTCGTGTGCACTGGCCTTGGTTCGTTTGTCGGGAGAAGAGCGACTTGGCTGGCGGGGCCGGGCCCGAAGGGGGTGGAGCCGGTGGTCTTCGGTTCGGTCAATCGGGCCCAAAGGAGCAGCCGCTTGTTTGCGCTGATGGAAATTCTGCCGTCTTCGCTGTTGGTGTGTTCACTTTCCACCAGACTCACATCGATGTTGTGCTCAAGTCCCAAGAAACGGTAATGCCTGACATATCTCGACACACATTGCAAGTTCTGCTGGACAAAACACATCGCAACTCAAGCAACCGGGTTTCGCCAAAACCGGTGTAAGGTACCTTTGGTCTTTACGCGTATTCCTGTGGTGAAGTTGGGGTTCTGGCATGGACCGTTCTGGGGCTTAAGTCCTGGCCGACTAAGTCCGCTGTGCCCTCGTGTGCCGGCGCCGTTTCGGCAGCAGACCGACCAAGTGACTTTCTGTGCCAAGATGACGGGGAGAACTGGGGCACTGCATGGTGGTGTGGAGCCGTCTTGTTGGGTTTTTTCTGCTCTCGTTGATGAAAGATGACTTTCACCAGGACGAGGGTCATGTCTGTTAGTTGCCAAGAGTAGTTTATTCACAGCGCCTGCGAGCACAGGAAGAACCTTGCTTCAGACGGTGAATGCGCCTTCGGATGAATGTGCAGACGGAAAAGACGCGCGTGCAATTGTTGATGATTGGACCCAACGCAGAACGAGTCCGTGAGCGACAGCCCCTGGTAGCCTTTCGTGCCTGGCAACTGATGGATGTCTTCTGCAATTTTTTTTTTTCTTTGGTCCCTCCGAGGGTGTTTGATGAATCATGGATCCGTCCGCTGCAGTGGACGAGTGTGCGCCAACGATCTTTCCACGAGGGTGGTTGGTTCCAGGGATGGGCGCTGCATCCTGGCGGCCGGCAAGGTCTTTGCCGGCCCCGGCAGCAGTCCCTGAGGGCAGCTTGGACCGCAGAGGACACCAGGCTCTATGGAAGTGTTCGTCTCTGCTGGCCTACGATCGACTTCCACCTCACGTTGAGGCGTACTCGCCGGCGATTATCATAAGTGGAACAACTGCGCTCTGTAGATTTCCAAAAAAAAAAAAGTGGTGTCCATCTTATGGGGCTCCTGTTTGATCTCGAGTCGTGCTTCTTGATTTTCCTGGGACACGAGGTCGCCACTGTACTCGTCGCAACACAGGTTCATGAGTAGACATAATTGAGGTTAAGCGTTCGTCTGATGCTGGGTGCGCTGACTGTTCAAATATCTCTGTTCCTGCGGCGATGGATGTCAGAACCGACAACCCAGCTTGGCATGATAGCGACAATTGGGAAGAAAGCCGACAAGCCAATCGCGCCGAAGATGTCCAATTGGCAAGTCATCGAAACAGGAGCAGGTCTGAGGTGTAGCTGGATTGCCACCGGCTTTGTCAGCTTAATTGGGGGAGTCCCGAGGCCGTTGTATTGATGTTTCTGTTGCAGACCCAGAAGACGTGGTGGCGCCCATCAGAATTTGCAACCGTCGTAGTGGAATACTTGTTTTGGACAAGGTAAACGACGAATTGTCCGGTGGGCCCGAGTTGCGAGGAGGTAGTCCGGCAAGTCGATGGGGCGGAAGAAGTCCTCAATCTGCGGTTGACGAGAGGGCTCGCTGGCTGGTTATGCTTAACAAATAGAGTAGCAAAAGATTTGGCTGCTTTTTCTTACCGAACGGCTGGTGTTAGTTCGGCACGATGGGCTGCCACTTTCTTACCTTCGGGTCGGCTAAAAAGCGGCCGCTTTCACCGATGGTTGGTAATGCCTTTGCAACTGCAGGAGGCAGAGAGAAAGACAAGCTGCCGTCGTGGCACCTTCTTGCCTCGTGCTAGCCATTTCGTGGCACCCCTGTCTCGTGCTGTCCCATCCTATCCCGTTTCGTCTGTGTCCCCATCGTTTTCCCGCTTCCACCTCCCGGAACCAGGCCAGGACTCCAGGCCAATGCAATCCCAGCACCCCATGCATCGAGAATGGCCGCTGCTGAACGGTGGACGGTGGCCCAGTTCGCCCTCCCGCCTTCACTACTCGATGCTCTCTGCAAGTCGGGTTGCTGGGTCGGCCTTCGCCGACTAGAAGTCACTGTGCCTGCCTTTCCTCCACAACCCGCTGCTCAAATCCCCTGCGGAGAATAAGGCGAACAATAAAAAGTACATTGTCCAGAGTCCAGACTACGCAGCTATCTGCCTGTCATGCACTCTACTTGCGGTTCATTCTTGCCCACACCCACTTTCATCTGCAGACGGTCTTCATCATTACACGTACAGTTCCTTTTCACCCTTAGCTGACTTAGTCGTCCATATCTCTGACTCTTCCTCGCTTCCTCTCGTTATCTTTCCCCGCGTTGTCACCTCTCCATTCATCCATCCTTCCATTGTCCACAATTCCACGTCTCTGTTCGACACCACCTAGACCGGGTTTCGACAGTTTGCCCTCGTTTTTACCAAGTGGAACCAGGGACACATCTTTGATGATTCCGTACCAAATCCTTTCTTCCCGAGTGACGGACATATGATTTCTATCCCCGGCCGCACACTAAAACCTTAGCCTGCTGCGCTGCATCTGCTGTCTCTCGCAGTCGCGTCCAACAACGGGCAGGCTTTACCCACATAAATATACCAGCTGCCGCCGTTGTACACTGCTTGCCAAGGGCGAAGCACACAGACCCAGCCAAAACTTCCCCAGACCGGTTGCCAGAGGAT